AATGCCGACAAAACTATTTTAAGCACCTCAATCGTGCTCAAAATCGTTATGCCCAAAATCGTTCTCCAGCGTCTTGTAATGAACTATCGCCTATCGGCTTTGAAATAAGATCTTTTTACTTGTTTTCTCTGACTTGTTCATGTTTCACAATGCACCAGCTGTTTCGTATTCGATGCAARCCGCTGTTTTTGAAGAACACAGACTCATTTGCACAGGTTTAGACTTGGCATAGTTAATGGAGCGGAATGGTTGGGAAACCCATTGTTCTAGGTTTTTGTTCGACTTTATCCATTGTTATATGACGTTGACGGTGCACAGTGAAAAGGAAAAGTTTCTCCATTTGTTCATAGTATTCGGGAATATAAAAGTTTTTAACCCTAAAAAACGTTTTAAAATAATTATTATTTGTTAATTAATCCTATATGATTAATACAAAATGTTTATTGAAAAGGAAATTGCCTTTTTTTTATGCTTTCTTATTTATCATCTAGTAACTTAACTGTATCTGCGCGGAAATATTTATCCGCATAGTTTTTGGTCATCGAATGAAAGTTTTCACTTTCAAAATGTTCATACACGAAAATAATAAGGAAATGAGCATTTTCAGACATACTTACTTTGGTTCATTGTCACACCCTCAGTATCACGTGATGGTACGGTTCAACATCAAACGCAAAACAATAGCTTTGTTCTATGGAGTTTCCAAACCATTCCACTCCATTTACTATGGACTTGGGTATAACTCATCTATTCACAGATACCATTAAAAGTCCGTGGCATTTCAAAACATTGGTATTGTTCAAGCTACAAATTCTTTACATTAAAGTTGACATTTGCAAATGATTTACTCTTAAGCGAGGCTAAGCCTGTGCAGATATGCATTTCTTAGTCATAAAACACAGCGGTATTTACCGAATAAGAAAAGGGCTTATTTAGGATATTTAGGAGTGTGTATGATAGCATGCATACCAAAATAGTGACGCTAGTTTAACTTGTTTCATTTATTTAATGTGCGGGCAGTGGTTTCCGACGCGAAAGCCGCAGTTGGTAYCTTTCTAAGACCTTAGGCGTTTTTGGTATTCGTGTATTTGTATTTGTATACAGTCAATTCAAAAAATGTAGTCGTCGACCAACTCTACGCGACTGGACCGAAGGGAACTCTGAGTAGTAATCATTGAAGCCGAGTTGACTTCATAATTTTATCTGACTAGTTATGCCTGGTTTACAGCACGAACCTTCCTAGGCGAACGGGAAGTGTGTTGAAGGAGACGTTTTTTTAATGCCTTCATATTTTCGAAATTGTGAACTGAATCATAACTACTTTGTTTTTCTTTCCCTAAACCCAAAGACATGAATTTGATGGATTGTTTCTCGTCATCATTATCTTATTACTAGCGGGAACAATCAATTCAGAACAAATATTTAACCGCTTCAGTGATTTTTACCCATATTCCTTTCGGTCCAGTCGCGTAGGCTTGAGCCGGTCGACATGACAACGTTTTTTGAATTGACTGTATTCGAATTCTTATTTGTGTTTTTGAATTTGTAGAGTGGAACAATTAATCAGTGAAACACCGATTACTCAATAGTACAAAATAGTGCTAATTAAACAATAGAAAACAATGGAATTTGCATGAAATTGTGCTATTTAGTATTACTAAAGTTTCACGGTTATATTATCTGCACTCTAGCTGCATYGGTACAAGATATGRCAAARTAGATGCTCATAATGCATAAGTTATGTAACTCATGCAGTTAAATATGCTATAGCTATTGATAACTCCCTGGTTTCAGGTAGACCGTTTTGCTTTAATGCAACACTATGTTTGGACTTCTGGCAAGTTAAAACACTAGATGACCAAAAAGATTGTACGGGAATGTGGATACCTTTTGTTTTCTATAGCTAATCAAATCACTGGCTTTAACCAAAGCGAAGCAAATGCAGAGCACTGTATGGCAATTAAGGGAAATTTCATGCACGCATTCACATGGCATAACATTTGCCAGCAATAATATAAACCAAATTAATGGATGCGTCAACTTTGATCTGTCCAAAATTCATGATCGGCTTGCTGCAAACAAGCTCACACTTMATGGCGTTCATGTGCAAAARTTCCGATCGWCAAATTTTTTTAGGCATATTATGAGCCAAACTGGGCATCGTGTCGTTATAACTGACAACTCTAATCAAACAATAGGAAACACAGGATTCCGTATGAATTACTAAATATTATTCACGGGTTTAGTGCATTCACTCTATACAATAGCCATAGCTTGATCTTGACTTATGTTTAAAAAATAATATAGCTTATCATGTAGATAAAGCATTCTTGACGTAATTTGTCGATTTTTGATTGGTTCCCTCGTGGGACAAGCTGTTCAAGCAAGAAAAGCAAGTAAGTCTAAAAGAGAATACATAACGTCATCAAAGAAACAGATGGTTCACAAGCCGCTTTATTGTAAACGCTGTCATGGCCGAAGATAACGTTGGTTTTAGTCGAGAAGACGAAAGTCCTCTTAACTTGCACAGCTTSTTTTCAGAGCAAGCAAAAACGTTTCCAGACAACATTGCTGTTGAGTACGAATCCGAGGAGTATAGTTATTCATACCTCGATGGAAGAAGCAATCAGTTGGCGAGATTTCTTGTGGAAA